TCCCCTGACACCCCTCCCCCTCTCCCTCCCCTGACACCCCCTCACTTCTCTCCTGGCGTTGCTTCGCTCTGCCGCCATCTTCCGGAGACTCTCGCCCAAAGCCGAGGCCTCTCTCTGATGGGCCGAGATGGCGTCCTCAAACTGGGCCTGCAGGGCCTTCAGCTCTGTGGTCGTGGCGCTGATGGTGGCCTGGAGGGAGCAGCAAACCGGCCACGGCATCCATGGGCAGCCTGAGGCTTGGGCAGCTGGTGGTCTGCTGAGGCCCACGCAGGCAGCCAGATGCTGCCCTCGCTTGGGCCGCACCAGGTGGGCAGGGGCAGAGTGCGGCCTGGGGCTCCAGGTCAGGGTCCTCACGGTGATTGCTGTCAATGCCCCTGATGCCAGGGTCCCAGGGGACATGGTGAGAAAGCCCCAGAGGGGTCTCCCCACGCCTTGCCTCTGGGGTCGCCAGGGCAGGGTGGGCGGCAGGCGCCCAATCAGGGACTCAAGCACTGACCTTTCTCATCCCTAAAATGTTGCTATTGGGCCCATCCCACTGAGGGGCCAAGAACAGCGATTTGGCAGTGAGAGGGCCCTGCCCTCAAATGTCACAGACTTCAGAACTCCTTGGGCTGGGCAGTGTGCTCAGCGTTCACGCCCAGGAGCTTGGGACTGGGCCTCCACCCTCGCTGGATGGCCAGGCACGGAAGAAGCTCCCCAGGTCCCTGGCCCCATGGCTGGGGCGTCCACTGCGTCTGTTCCCAGATGAAGGGCCTCTAGTCCCCCTCTCTGGGACCCTGCCCATCAGCATAGGGCCAGAAAGGCAGACCCCAGCTCAGAAGACGTGGCAGTGGTGGGGAAGGGGGAGCCCTGTCCCTGAGTGCAGGTAAACACAGGGACCCCTCAGCCGAGCCCGTGGTTTCCTGAACTTTCACATAGGTGGGGGCCTCAGGGGAGACCCACATCACTGCCAGACTAAACGTGTGAGTACCCGCAGATGTGCCTGGGAAGGGGCCGCAGGGCCATCCCCATAGAGACTATGCAGCCATGCTCAGGCGGCCCATTCATCCGGGACTCAGCTTGGCCTGAACCTGCCCTCCTGGGGCTGCAGCACTCAAGAGGCTCCCCTCTGGCACTCACCGGTGGGCACTCGGAGGAGGTGGGGGTCCTCTGGGCCCCAGGCTAGGCAGCAGTGCTCAAAGCGTTCCTTGTCCACCGGTAAGGACCACACCTGCTTACCCGGAGCCTGAGGCCAGCCCAGCTTCCTTGCCAGGATCCCCCTCCTCACCATCCGCGCCCCCCCCCGCCCCTCCTGGCCCCAGGGTGGTGGTTTCCTGAGCAGGGCGGGGGATGGAGCTGGCTTTCTGTTCCAGGAGGCACAGGCGCCCTCACCACTGTCCTGGGCTGGGTTTCTAAGAGACCTCTGCGCTCCCACCCGCCGGGACTCGGGATTCGTTGGCCGCTGTGGAGTGAGGGCGCTAGTGGGCTGGGGCTCCATCAGGACGGTGTCTCCCGCTTTTGGGGAAGGAGCCTCACTGTGCCTCCTCTGCCCCCGCCCCTGCTGTCCTTCCCCACCGACAGGATCACCTTGGGTGGCCGGGTCTGGCTGTCCCCAGGATGGGCCCTGCATGGCTGTGGGGGCCCCGCCCGGAAGCCCCTGGGAGGGTTGTGAGCGACAGGGCACTGCCCTGGAGCCCCTCCACCTGCCAGGGGTGTTTCTGATGGCATCCCTCACCTGGCTTTCCTCGGCCGGCATCTCTCCTCTCCCTCCCTCCTCAGTGGGTTTTAATTTCCACTTTCCATGCCAAGGTGGCAAAAGAACCCTTAACGAGCTCCCTGAAGTGTCCTGCTGGCTGGCAGGCCATCCCCAGTCCAGGTGCAGACTTGGAGCCAGCACGAGGGAAGATTCCTGAACCAGCCCCTCTCTGAGTTGGGGTGTCAGCTCCCAGGATCTTGGGGGTCGTTCCTGGTTCCCTGACCATGGGTGGGACTGGGGGGCAGCTCGGTGGGGATGGGAGGAAGGAGGGCACAACCCCATGGACCCCCACTCCTCCCATGGGTGGCCCTTGGAAGGGCCACCCAGCCTAAGGGTGGGACAGAGCAGGGTGGGGGCTCCAGGGAGAGAGCCTCTTGAATAAGACTTTCCTGGGTGCCAGGAGCCCCTCCAGGCAGCTCTGCTCACAGTGACCACATCAGGCAGCAGTGGGGCGGGGTGGAAGGTGAAGAGACACCCTGGCTGAGCTCCACCCCCCACCCCCCCTCTCCGGACACAGCAGTAGGCGCCTCGCTCATGGGATGGAGGCACAGGGCCTCCAGGGTCATTGCCCCCACTCCAAGTCCTAGTTGCTACTGCCTGTCCTGTCCCCTGGACATGGGCTCCTGATGGAGTCCGGAGTTCCAGGTGACCTCAGCTGGTTGTCTGAGGCAGCCTCAGTGTGGCGGTGGGCCTATACCTATGGGGGTCTCTCCCATCCCTCATCCCTCGGGGATGCCTCTCTCCTGGCTCGGCTTGGGACTCTCTGTGGATGTCCTTCCCAGGGAGGATCTGCCTTGGGCACAATGCTGGCCTTTCCAGGTTGGGTTTCTCCTTTGGGAGAGTCTAATGGGCCAGCCCCAAGAGGCCTCACACACATTTCTTGCAGTTCCATTTGACCAAGTGCAGCTCAGGTGCACAGACAGGCAGGGCTGGGTGTCTATGGGCTGGCCAGGGCCCAGGTCTGGGTCTGCGCTTCTCTGCTGCTGGCTCACCTGTGGCCCCAGGCCCTCCTCCGTCGGCTCTTCCTGGACGAGTCTGCTGCTGGGGAGCAGGGACTGGCTCTCACAGCCCCACCCACCCCCAGCTTTGGTTCATTGGGTTTTTCCTTCCCATTAAGACAGTGTTTCCTCCCAGCAGACCTGGACATTCCCTGGGGGAAATTCAGGCTAAGGGGGGCTAGGACAGAGGGGGCTGTGTACCTGGGACCAGGTAGGAAGGTGCATCTGGGGGTGGCCCTGCTGGGTGCTCAGTGCCTTGCTTGGGCCCACAGGGCTCACCTCGGCTTGCTCATGCTGGCTCTGGGCCTTCTGCTGCACCTGTTCCAGCTCCTGCATGGACCTGGAGAGCTCTTCCCTCAGCAGCCTCCCCTCTGCTTCTTTCAGTGACAGGGCCTGGTGGGATTGGGGGGGTGGTGCTTGTGAGGATCAAGGGCCTCTTTAAGGAGAGGCTAAAGCCTTTGCCAGGATGTGGTGTGTTCCTTATTCCACACCCCTGCTTGGGGAGGAGCGTCACCCCAGAGGCAGCCCTTGTCCTGAGTGGGGTCGATGGGGCCTTTTCACTCTGTCTGACATGGCCCAACTTCCGTGCGTATGCTCAGTCAGCTCTCCACACACTGGGTGGCTGATCAGGTGGATGGATAGTCAGACACAGAGATGGATGGTGGCTATGGATGGACAGATGAGTGTGTGGATAGAAGGAAGGATGTTTAAGTGAATGGATAGACAGATGGTCAAGAGAATGGTTAGACGGATGGTCATATGAATGTGTGAATAGATAGTTGGGTGTATGGATAGTTGGATGGATGTTTAAGCAAATTGATGGATAGATGTATGGTTAGGTGTGTGAATGGAAAATCAGGTATGTGGATAGATGGCCATGTATGTAGGACATCTGCTGGGTGTATAGATAGAAGGATGGCAAGTCAGGTGAATGGATGGATGATGGACAGATGAATGGAGGGACAGTCAAGTGCATGGATGGATAGACGGGTGGATGGATTGGTAGATGGG